AGAATATAGCAGAGTATTCTAAAACAATCACCTAAACAAAAGAACAAATGTCTTATACACACTAAGTCATTCTACTAGGGAGAAATGTCAGACTCCCTGGTTCTTATATAGAGAAGAACAGGAAACTGGCATATTAAATTTTTTTCTTATTGTCTAATATAATCCATTCAAATCCTCCTAGTATATAAGACTTGCTTGCCAATGTCAAACATTTATTCATAATAAATCTATGGGATGTGCTCTAATTTTGAGCCTCACTTGTGTGCCTAAGGTTTGGTCTCTCAAGGTATCCTTCCAGAGGGCTCTGAAGCAAATGCACCTATCTTGTTTGTACAAGACAACAGCCCAATAAGACTCCCAACTCTGAACCTCTATCCTAGGAGTCAAATGAATGATTCCATTTTCCTGATATGGGGGAGCAATTCCACAGCCAGACCAGGAAAAGACACATCTTACTTTAGCTACTCAATCAAAGCAGCACTTTTCCTATTTATAGTATTTAAAACTACTTAAAATCAGGGACTTTTTCCACTGCTTTCATAATAGTAAGAAGCCCAGATCAAACTCACTTCTCTGATAAGGCTGGTTTTTAAAGCTGACAGATTGTTATAATCCCATTCAGTCTTTCAATACAAAGGAGCAAGTCTCTTTAGAATTCACAGGCCAAATAATAATGCTGTCCTCCTCCCCTCCTCCCAAAGTAGAAATGTCAGACAGCATTCAATGAGACAGCATATCATAAAAGAGGATATGAGTCTTCTCAAGGACTATTCATCAGACTCTATGAGAGGAAAATGGACATGGAAGAATTTTTCAAACTTAAATAGGCTTCTCAGCAGATTCATTATAGAAAAAGACCTTTAGAAATAGTAAATAATCATAAAATTCACAGTTATGAAATATGGCTCTTGTTTCTATCTAATAAAAGTAACTTCTCCAATCCCTCTCAAGTAATGAACACATAACTGTGAGTAAAACAAAGAAACCAAACAGAGGGTAGGGTAATAAAAATGTATGCTTAGTTATACAAATATGATTTTTAGAAAAGCAATTGGAATTTTTAAAAAGTCGGCCATTTCTGTGCCTCAGAATATTTTACTAATGCCTTTTCAAACCACTCAGCTACAATATGTAGCCACTGAAGACATGTTTAAAATGAAACCTCAATTCCATGTGCCTAGACATGTAAAAGCATAAAGATCTGATTGTGAATAGAATTCCTAAAGCTAAGGATCACAGCTGGTTCCTCACTCTCCTTCCCCCCTCCGCCAGTCCCCAGTGCCTGTTCTTTCCATCCATCCCCTTCTGTCTAGTCCTCTTGCCCTCAGCAGCTCATCCCTTCTTCACTTTGCACCTATTCCAGTAGTCATGTATGGATGTGAGAGCTGGACCACAAAGAAGGTTGAGTGCCAAAGAATTGATGCTTTTGAGCTGTGGTGCTAGAGAGGATTCTTGGGAGACCCTTGAACAGCAAAAAGGTCAAACCAGTCAATCCTAAAGGACATCAACTCTGAATATTCATTGGAAGGACTGATGCTGAAGCTGAAGCTCCAATACTTTGGCCACCTGATGCAAACAGCCAACTCATTAGAAAAGCCCCTGATGCTGGGAAAGATTGAAGGCAGGAGGAAAAGCAGGTGACAGAGGATGAGATGTTGGATGGCATTACCAACTCAATAACCATGAGTTTGAGCAAACTCCAGAAGATAGTGAAGGACAGAGAAGCCCAGCATGCTGCAGTCCATGGGGTCACAAAGAGTCAGACACAACTTAGAGACTGAACAACAACAGGGCAGAAGCCCCTAATTCCGCCCTTCCTCCACTCCTTCTGGTCCATCCTGCACACCACCACCACATTCATCTGGTTGCCATTTTTTCTTCCTCAGAATGTCCAATGGCCCGGTCTTGCTCACTGTGCCTGAACTTCTTAGCATCATGGAAAACACCTTGCCCAATCTGTTCCCATCTGTCTATCCAGGTCTCATTTCTCACTACTATCTGAAAAGGATCCTCACCCTGTTATGGACAACCTCGATAGTCTGTAATTCCCTAAACAAGCTCTATTTAAAACTTCAAAATCCAGGGGGTTGGAAATAGAAGTCAAGTCACCTACCCCAGATCACACAGCTAGCGACCATAGAATCTGGATTTCAATCCAGGTTTGAGCTGTGTCCAAAGTTCTTAAACACCATCCTGTTCTCTCTCTCTGGAATGTCCCTCTCTGATCTATATGTGGAAATCTCACCCATCCTTCAAGGACACTTCACTCCTGAAGCTTTCTTTGTTTTTTCCTGTCTGAAGTGCTTCTTCTCTCTTCTGAGCCCTTATAGCATTTTCTTCACATATTTCACAAAATATCATAACAACAGAGTCATGTGAGATTCAAGATATTGTTGTATGGTCTTGTGGTCCTTTATGGCACCTAACATACCTCTCTACACACTGATGGCATTCAGCAAAGATCTGATAAAAAAATGAGCTGTGGGAAGCCTTTCAGCACTCACCCAACACAACCACAATGAGAGATTCTTATTAATTTCAGGCACAGAGCTCTCCTTTCCCTGCGCTGAGCATCCTGTCTTTCTCCTCTTCTAGTGCATCAGTTGTGCATACATTCCTTGTTGTATGTCATGCCACCTGCCTATAAACCATTGTGCAACCTGGAAAAAGTTCTGGTGTCTGGTAACCACTGTAACATTTAGGAAGATGCAAACTGTGATAAATACCAGCCATAAAAAGGAACAAGAGTGGTTTCATTCTTTGGAACCTGAAATGGCAACTGAGAAACAAAGTTCAGGTCAAATTCTCCTTTCAGGCCTTCTTACTCATTATCTCTGTTTTATGTTGAAAGGAACAAGGGGTGGGGCAGTGAGCTAGTATGAACAAATGCCAGGAAGAAGAAAAGGGGAATAACTGGTCAGACAGTTACTCTTTCTCAAGAGACAAACTGCATTCTAGGAAAGGAAAATACTCCCAAGTCTATAAGAAATTATACAAAAGCATAGAGCAGAAAAGGTAAATCAGGCCTAAACAGCAGCCTCTTGATTTTTCTTTCTTTTTTTTTTTTTTTTTTTGGCTGTGAGATAGGGTTTCTACCCCTTAATGCTTTCCTTCCACACTGGGTCATGTGGCACTCAATGTCTGGTCCTCAGTGTGGTGACTCAGGAAAGGTTGCAAATACAATATGAAAATGACCCACTTAATTTAGCATATGACTCCATCCACTGAGTCAGTAAAATTAAATTGTAAGTTTAAAGCAATATAATCATAATGGGGAAGAGGCACTTCTACCTGTTACCCACTTCCCTGCTCACCCTCTTGCATGTTGCTCCTCACAGAAGTTGCTAAACTGATAGGTCAATGTTCTGGAAGGCAACTGAGCCAAAGAGGGAGACCAAGTTCAACTCCCTATAACCCTGGGAGGAAAAGGCAGGAGTAAGAAGTGGGGTTCCCCTCCGTCTCTCAGTGACCTGTTTCTCACGGCATAACAAACACCCTTTGATTGAAATGAACCAGATCGGAACTGGAAATTCCACCAGCATTACTTCTTGAGAACCTACCATGTGCTGGGCTAGAAGGAAAAAAAAGAAAAGAAGCATTGGCCCCTATTCTTGAGTAGTTCACAGTCTAATAGGAGACACAGAAATGATTTCCATATACCATGGCATTATACAAGGGGTACTGTGGAAATAAAGAGTCTGTGGAAATAAAGAGTCTGTGAGAGCAGAATTGGGGTCAGGGCAAATTCCCTTGAAGAAATGAGATCAGACTGAGGGCTGATGATTTTGCAAGAGTCAGACAGGCCCAGAAGGGTGACAGAGGTGTTCCTGCAGAGAGAACCATGTAAGCAAAGCCCAGAGATGTACAGCATCCTTTCTCAAACCAACAAAGCCCAAATCCTCTCCTGTCTATATAATGTCTACAATACTCTTGTATCAGAGATAAAGAATAAGGTAAAATGTAATTTAAGCACTGATCTTTGAAGAAATGCACTAAAAATAAATCCATAGCTTTCTCTGAAGGAGAAAGAAGGGTGAAAAAAAAACAAAACAAAATATCTCTTAAAGTGGGTTTGGTTAAAGCAAACTAATTAGCTTCCTAATCTCTGCAGGTGGGATCAGGCTCCAGGTATACTTTCAATCACCGAGTTTACTTCTAAATCATATGGAGCAGATGGAAAGCAAGCAAAACAGCACACCCCTGGCTGTTGTGTAAACTCCTAACCACAAAGCATTTAAGTAACAGTATCATAAGCGACACAGACCCATGGAAGGTAGGGCCTTTATGGGCTAAGTCTGCTCCCAGGGAGTTTGGACTCCACAGTCAGCTCCACCTCTGTCTGTGAAATATTTATCACCAATATGAACTCTGTCCCACTTTCCATCCCTAGGAGATGTGGCTATTTATTGACTTAGTGGCATAAATATGTGAGACCTGGGCCCGAGAGGGTAGAAGTAGCAGATGCCCCAAAATATCTCTTTTGATCTCAGCTATAGGCACAGTTTTTATTTCTGGACTTTTAGTTTCCTTGCTCTATGCCTTACTTTTTTCCATCTGACAATGATAGTCATAAAATATACCCTTAAATTCTTTATTTAGGGGAAATAAATGAAGTGACTCCTAACTTGGCTTGAGCCTCTTGAGCAGAAGCCAGGTGTCTTAGACAACAGGCCCCAGGAAACCAGGATCACCTTAATCTAGAGCAATGAACCTGAAGGAACAAAATCAGCATTAGCTAGTCAATCAATTTTTCATTCACTTAACAATTTTATTAAGTACTTCATATGTGCACACCATAATAAAACTGATGCTCTTGTAACTTTGTTTTCTAGTCTCTTTCCACATCCCTTGTTTTGACTGATGGATAAGTGAAATTGGCCATAACACAGCAGTGTGAGCTGGGCTCATGGAAGATCCCATCACAACCCAGTACTACCACATGGGAAATTCAGGATAAACCCAGTGACAAGGAAGGCAGCAGAGTACTGTGTTCAGCTCACCTGGGGACACTAGTTAGGTAGGTCATGACATTCAGGAAGTCTTCATCTAGGATGTGCTTGAACCCCACAAACTCTGGAAAAGTGATGATGGGGGCACCATCTTTCCCTCGGCCTCCTGCAACAAAAATGGGTAGTCAAGGTGTTAACAAAATGTTTTCATGTCACACCTCTGCAAGTAAAGGACTCAGGCTAATATCAACTTGAGATGTACATCAGTCTCCCCCTTTTTTGTCTGTATTATTTTAGAGCAGGAGGCGGGAAAGTTGACACTGAATTACTTCGAACAAGCCTCTCTTCTCCTTCAAGCTTGTTCAGGGGTGTTGTGAGAATTCAATCTTTTGAATCCTCTGAAGATAGTTACTATGTAAAAGACAACATTGATTTATTTTAGTATAGGTGGAATAGTAAATAATGCCAACACAAATACATCATATTGCTCATTTATGCAGTTCAGTCGCTCAGTCATGTCCAACTCTTTGCGACCCCATGAACTGCAACACACCAGGCCTCCCTGTTCATCACCAACTCCCGGAATTTACCCAAACTCATGTCCATTGAGTTGGTGATGCCATCCAACCATCTCATCCTCTGTCGTCCCGTCCCCTTCTCCTCCCGCCGTCAATCTTTCCCAGCATCAGGGTCTTTTCAAATGAGTCAGCTCTTCGCTGGTGGCCAAAGTATTGGAGTTTCAGCTTCAACATCAGTCCTTCCAATGAACACCCAGGACTGATCTCCTTTAGGATGGACTGGTTGGATCTCCTTGCAGTCCAAGGGACTCTCAAGAGTCTTCTCCAACACCACAGTTCAAAAGCATCAATTCTTTGGCGCTCAGCTTTCTTTATAGTCCAACTCTCACATCCATACATGACCACTGGAAAAACCATAGCCTTGACTAGACAGACCTTTGTTGACAAAGTAATGTCTCTGCTTTTTAATATGCTGTCTAGGTTGGTCATAACTTTCCTTCAGCAAATATCAAATGTAAAAGTATATGGTGGTTAAGAGAGTTGGTTCTAGGGACTTCCCTGGCAGTCCCAGTGGTTAGGATTCCATGCTTCTACTGCAGGGGGCATGGGTTTGATCCCTGTTCAGGGAACTAAGATCCTACACGTCATTCAGTGTGATCAAAAAATAGAAAGAGAGAGAGTTGGCTCTAAAATCAGATAACTTTATTCAAATTCTGCTTTACCACTTAATTTCTATGTGATTTTATACAAGATACTTAATTAAACAGAAGTTTCCTTTTATATACAAATATGTATCTATGTAATAGGAATATTACCTATACCTTCCTCAAAAGGTATTGTAACGATTAACTGAGAACATATATAAAAAGCACTTTAGCAGACTACTTATTATATATAAGTGCTCCATAAATGGTAACTGTTATTATGGTTATATTCTTTCAAGGCAAGGCTTCCCTGGTGGCTCAGATGGTAAAGAATCTGGCAGCAATTCAGGAGGCCAGGGTTCAATGCCTGGGTTGGGAAGATTGGCTGAAGAAGGGAATGGCAACCCAGTCAGTATTCTTGCCTGGAGAATCCCCATGGACAGAGGAGCCTGGTAGGCTACAGCCCATGAGGTCACAAAGAGTCGGACAGGACTGAGTGACTAAGCACACATTGTTAAGCACATTCTTACAAGGCAGCTGCCCTTGAATAACTCATAAACAGATATAAGACATCCCTCTGAGAACAAAAGCATAAAATAAGTATTTAAATATTTTATTCATTAAAGCAGACACCACTAAATAGATTCTATTTCCCAAATTAACAATAACACAATAATAGTGGGAAACTTTAATACCCCACTCACACCTATGGATAGGTCAACTAAACAGAAAATTAACAAGGAAACACAAACTTTAAATGATACAATAGACCAGTTAGACCTAATTGATATCTATTGGACATATCACTCCAAAACAATGAATTTCACCTTTTTCTCAAGTGCACATGGAAACTTCTCCAGGATAGATCACATAATGGGCCATAAATCTAGCCTTAGTGAACTCAAAAAAACTGAAATCATTCCAAGCATCTTTTCTGATCACAATGCAGTAAGATTAGATGTAAATTACAGGAAAAAACTATTTAAAATTCCAACATATGGAGGCTAAACAACATGCTTCTGAATAACCAACAAATCACAGAAGAAATCAAAAAAGAAATCAAAATATGCATAGAAACAAATGAAAATGAAAACACAACAACCCAAAACCTGTGGGACACTGTAAAAGCAGTGCTAAGGGGAAGGTTCATAGCAATACAGGCTTACCTCATGAAACAAGAAAAAAGTCACAATAGATAACCTGACTTTACACCTAAAGCAACTAGAAAAGGAAGAAATTAAGAACCCCAGGTCTAGTAGAAGGAAAGAAATCTTAAAAATTAGGGCAGAAATAAATGCAAAAGAAACAAAAGAGACCATAGCAAAAATCAATAAAGCCAAAAGCTGGTTCTGTGAGAAGATAAATAAAATTGACAAACCATTAGCCAGACTCATCAAGAAACAAAGGGAGAAGAGTTAAATCAACAAAATTAGAAACGAAAATGGAGAGATCACAACAGACAACACAGAAATACAAAGGATCATAAGAGACTACTATCAGCAACTATATGCCAATAAAATGGACAACTTGGAAGAAATGGACAAATTCTTAGAAAAGTACAACTTTCCAAAACTGAACCAGGAAGAAATAGAAAATCTTAACAGACTCATCACAAGCACAGAAATTGAAACTGTAATAAAAAATCTTCCAACATACAAAAGTCCAGGACCAGATGGCTTCACAGGTGAGTTCTACCAAAAATTTAGAGAAGAATGAACACATATCCTACTCGAACTCTTCCAGAAAATTGAAGAGGACGGTAAACTCCCAAACTCATTCTATGAGGCCACCATCACCCTAACACCAAAACCAGACAAAGATGCTCCAAAAAGAGAAAACTACAGGCCAGTATCACTGATGAACATAGATGCAAAAATCCTTAACAAAATTCTAGCAAACCGAATCCAACAACATATTAAAAAAATCATACACCATGACCAAGTGGGCTTTATCCCAGGAATGCAAGGATTCTTTAATATCCGCAAATCAATCAATGTAATA